TGGGTGGCTGGGTCCAACACCACTCACTCCCCACCCATCCATCCATCCACTCAGCCATCCATCCATCCATCCAGTGGTTCATTGCACTGTTTTTGCTCGGCTCATCACTCTCTAGTGCAGTGCTGGCAAACCTTTCCTCTGACTCACAGACGGTGGATCCATCGGTGGGAGGGATGCATCCACACACACCTATCTGCATGCCTGCCTGTCTGCCCGCCTCTGTGTGTGTGTGTGTGTGTGTCGGTGCGGACCTCCGTGACGGTGGCATGACGGGCGGAGAGGCGTGCAGATCAGATGGACGTGTAGGCTGCCAGAGAGCACATTCCATTCATTTCATTCCTTGTGTGTGGGTGTAAGATAAAGGACCGGCTCATCACACACACACACACACACATACAACATGGGACGCAGTGAGTGTGCTGCTGTGAGTGAGGAGGATGTGGTATGTCGCATGAGTGAGTCAATGCATCAAGAATGAAAGCTCGATAGCTAGCTGGCTCGGTTCGATCTTCCGTCGCGGCCTCGCGCGCTTCAGTCGGTCGGTCATCTTGATGCTTACGTCCAGTCCACACACCCATGCATAGCACAGCACAGCACACATCACCAAAGCGGCCAGCATGGCACTCTCAGTCCTCGGCTACTTACCACACCACACCACACCACACCACCAACCATGAGCATGAGCAGTGGTCCAATCCACGTTGCCATCCGTCCATCATATCGGTTCTTCGTCACGTCCTGTCGCTCTGCTGTGGGTATGATGTCTTGTGGCTGCCGTCTGTGTCTGTCTATTGTGAGTTGAGGTACCGACGCCACTTGAGGTATGAGCTGCGGATGCCCTGGTTGCTCCGCTGGTCGGGGATCTCACCCGTGAAGGCCAACTTGTGAGTCGTGATGAAACGACGCTTGCCAGGAGCAAACAGACCTGCAGGCGCAAAGGAGCCGTGTCTGCAGCCGGCATTGGTCCGTGTGTGTGTGCGGTGCATGCTATTTCTTGCCGTGGTCGAATTTGAGTGTCGATGCGTTCCACTTTGGCAGAGTCGGGTTGGGAATGGCATTGCGCTGCAGAGGTGCACAGCCGCACACAGGGAGACAGGGAGACAGGAGCCACATTGTGCGTGTCCGTCCCATCCATTCCATGCATGTGGCTCACTGACTGACCGATCTGAAGGCCAGGGGGTTGTACGGGCCATAAAGAGGCTTGCTGTCCATCGAACAGTACTCGTACGGCCGCTTAACATACGACAAGCTGACACAGAAAGCAATGAGGGAGACAAGACGGTACCCGTACGTGTCTCTTCAGACACCCACGGGCGCACCCATATTCCGATTTGTCCTTGATCCGCCGCTGCAGCCCCACCGCCTCGGGGGTGCGGATGGGTATCATCTTGTACGGCGTGGCGAAAACCTCACCACTCACGGCAAACTTGCCTGCAGTGCAGGGAGGGAGCGGAGCGAGACGCAGACATCCATCCACTACTGATCGACACACATACTCAAAGACCAGCTCCTACCTTACCTGTGCTGGTAATCGTGTGGACGCCATCAAACATCTGTAAAGACACCGCCCGCCACAGATCCCGTCACCACACACATGATGCGCCACGCACCTGGTGGCCGCAAACATCTGCAACCAGAAGAAAGAGAGAGAAGAGAACAACGCAATTGATGCAGAATAAGAAAGCGTCTCAGGGTCTGCTGCCTGTGGTCACTTACCAGGTCGGAGCCTCAGCGTCGGGTTGATAATTGTAGGAGCGCTCTGCGCGGAAACAACACAGCAAATGGACCGACTTTGCGATGCTGGAATATTCCATTTTGCATGGCAAACTACATACCTACCTTGGGCCGGTTCAACCTTCGGGAGGTGTTGGTGACGCCATAGAGGGAAGGCAGGCCCTCGGGAATGTCGTAGCGCAGTCGCGTCTCAGTACCCATGGCCAGCTGCTGTCCTCCCGAGACTATGGGGGACACGTGAGACTGAGACGCCGGTGGGCGCCCCCAAAGCGCATGCATGCAGCTCCTCGGTCGCCCGCATGTTTCGATCACACGGCCGTTGCGTCATTCTTTGTTCCCACCCACTGGTCCGCTCCTAGCTGCCCGTTCCCCTCAGTCATTTGGTCATGACATTCATATCAGCCATCCGCACCAAATGAATGGCACATCGCATCGCATCGCATAGATGCGGACCCCCACAAAGCCACGCGTCCACGCGCACAGCCACGCACCACGTGTGTTCCCCAAAAAGACCTACAAAAATCGCTGCAAGCCAAATCAATCGCCGACCATCAATCTCATCTATCTCATCTCAGTCAGATGGGTCTGAAGGCAAACATATCCATCTTGACGTTGAGGAATCCGCGGGGATTGAGCCTGATCATCTTGTAGGCCGACAGAACACCGTTGGCCCCACCCTCGCCCAGCTGCGTCAGCGGCACGGTCGTCTGGCCGAAGGCGCTGGAGGTGAAGCTGCTCTGCTTGGCCGACGCATCCACCACCTACATACACACACACACACACACTCACAACACACATAGATATCCCCAACTGACAGCCAGTCATCCAGTGACCACGCTTACGCGGAAGTGCAGCTGCTCTGTCTGGGGATTGGCAACGAGGAATGAGAAGCCCTGCGCCCACACGGGAGTGCGGGACATCCTGATGGTCTGGTGTGTGCCGCTGAGGTATGCGTCGATGTCCTCTGCGTGGACGTCCAACACACTCGCAATCTCCTCGTTGGTCATCCGGCGGTCCTTCAGCAGCTTCAGCTTGCGCAACAGAGTGTCCAGCATCACATTGCCTGCATCACAGACACATGTGCAGCCGAGCCATCTATCTATGTGCGTGATTCTGCTCTCCCGCTCTCCCTGTGTCTCCGTGTCTGCGTGTCTGTCTGTCTGTGTGCTTTGTGCCTACCGGTTTGTCCGTCCTCGGCTTTCGGAGGTATCCACGGCTGTGTTTCGCAGGTCGACCGCTGCTCGCCACCAGGTCCCACCAAAGACACCAACACCTACAACGCAAGATAACACAACACAACACACCACAACACACCGACCCAGCCATTGATCCATCCGTCCATCCATCCGTCCATCCATCCATCCGTCCAAGCTCCCTCCCTCCCTCCCTGTGTAATGACCACCGCACCTTTGGCTGCGAGGATGTCTTAAGCCGCAACTCCTCCGCCCGATCGACAGCCACCCACACCAGCCACCCATTGCCATCCCCAGAGCCACCGGCGCTGTCCTCTGCTGCTGACGACTTTGGTGAGGGGAGCTTTGGCAAAGGCACCTCGCGAGATAGCGAGAACCACTCGGGTCGCAGGTAGACGAACGACGCGCCCCGCTGTTTGTCCTTGTTGGTTGCGTCAATAAGCTTGTGGTGTGGGCTCTCGAGCGGCAGCCGGATGGTGGCTGCGGCGGCGTGGTCGTCGGTTGTTGAGTGGGTGTAGATGAGGGGGTCGGCGAGGCCGCCGCCCACTGAGAGGTCGAGGGCGACTTTGATCTCGGTCTCCTTCTTGCCCGTCTTCTCCTTGACCCACATCGGCGGCCGCTCGCCCTCAGCCGGCTTGTACCTGACACACACAACACATGTGTGTGGGTGGTGTGGTCTGCTCTGCTGACTGCGTTGTGCAGTCATTGTATTGTTTTCCTCTCTCGTGGCTCTCGGTGTGAACGTACCCGATGAAGCACCATGGCTGTCGATAGGAAGGTCGGTCGCCCTGACCCTGACACACCACGGCACGCCACGGGCCAAGCCAAGCCAAGCAAGCAAGGGTTATGGGAGAACTTGCTGCACGCCTTATGCTACGCTATGCTGTCTGTGTGCGTTGGTTGCGTGCAGGCCTACTGGTTTCAGTAGTTTGGATCCGCAGTTGAGCAGCTGGCTCCTGGCGTCCCACCAGGCCTCCCCGCTGTCCTGGATGGCGCACATGACCACGGTACGGCAGGGCAGGCCGTCGATGAACTCGCGCAGCTGCTTGTCCTGCGAGCCACCGGGGGTGTCATACCTACAACCACACAAACACGAGCCAGCCCATTCTCATGTTGGGGTGGGGTGGGGTGGGAGCTGGGGGGGCTGTCGCTCACCAGCAGTCGAAGGTCTCGGCTTTGGTTACATCGCCGGTGACCCCGTCCATGGCGACCACATGGATGCCGCGGCCGCTCACGTCACGCCGCTCTCCGTTGACGACGATGCCGGGCTTGCCCTTCTTCCCGCCAGCCGACCTGCACTCGATGCTGACTTTCTTGGCTTCAGGCGGCGCGTCGTCGCCCCGCATCTCCTCGGGAATGTCGCCCCGGGCTGCCAGCTTGGCTGTCTGAAGCAGGTCCTTGACTGTGATGCTGACGGACGGATTATCATGACAGACAGGAAAGGGGCTGGGCTGTGGGGTGCGGGGTGTGGTGTGGCGTGAGGGTGTGTGGGTCTGGCCTGGAGGGGAGGCTAGCTACCTTACCTGACGTGTCCGATGAGTGAGTTCTTGCCGAGGACCTCCTGGTCGAAGATGCTCACCTTGACCTCCTGCATCTCGCGATCGTGCACGATGAAGTCATCCGTCTGCAAGCACCCACACACACTGGGCATGAAAGCGGGAGGGTTCTTCAGAACTTTCTGTTGTTCCGCGTGTAATGCATGCGATGTGCTCACCTCGTTCCATCTTGCGTTGTTGTCGTCACTGACCACTGATGTCACCATCTCCTGAGCACCCACCTTGACCTCCACAAACGGGTCAGCCTGCCAATCAACCAACCACGCATTGCATGCAATGTGCTGCGAATTCCCTGCCTTCCTGCTGTCACTGACCTTGTCGTTTTTGAATATGCTGCCGATGCCCCTCCACTCGGACCTCAGCCCCTCCGCCCTCACCACCGTCAACCGCAGGATCCCCACACCAGGCGGGTTCCGCAGCTGGATCAAATCCACAGCCTCGGACAAGTTCAGAGCGATGCTGTTTGTGACACATCAAGTCACGACACACACATTTGGCTATATGTCACTCACACACACACACACACACATACACACATACTTACCGGTTTGGGACGACGAGTGCGTTTGCGATTGATGAGGTGATGACATTGTTGACGATGCCGGCAAGGAAGGGGAAGTCGGCAATGTTGGCCAGACCCGTGAACTCGATCGACACCTGGGGCGGGTTCTGGAAAAATACCTGACAATCCAATCCACCGAGCAGACAGACAGATCAGCAGCTCGTGTGGTGTGGGTGTGTGTATAGGTGGGTGGAAGGCTGGAGGCCTATGTCGGTTCAATACCTGCATGCCTCCGACAAGCGGCGGTGTGGCGATGAGTGGCGTCATGAGCACCACCAGCTGGCCCGACATCGACAGCTGCGACACACCGAACTCACCTGCACACACAGACACACACACACCCTGGCCTGCATCCACTGGCCGAGCCCGGCAATGCAATGCGTCCGTACCAAGGTAGTTGACGGCGAGGGCAATGTCAGCGTCGCCATGGTAGTCGATGTCCAGGACCATCCTGATGGCGTCGTGGCCAAGGGCATCCTGCAGGCAGGCAAGCCAACATCACACACATCACTAACACGCACAGCCGATGCGATGCATTCACGAGTGCAGTGCTGTGCTGTGATGTGTGTGACCTTGAGAGGCGATATGTGCACCCGCTCGATGGTCAAGGGCTGCAGGAACAGACAGACAGACAGACAAGATGCTGGCAGCCTTGTCTCTCTGTCGGTGCGTCGCGTCACCTCCCTCACCTTTTTGCCGAGTTTGGTTTTGGTGAAGCGGATCTTCTTGATCGCATTCGGCACCGACGCCTGCAGCACAGGCTCGATCTCATCTACAGGACATGACATTACACACACATACGCAACACGCACACACAGAGTCATGACCACGAAGAGATCACCCATCCATCCATCCATCCACCTTTCATTGTCTGCGCAGCGGCCTGCCCAATGTAGGGCCACAGGTTCACAATCAGCCCGTTCAGCCACTCAGCACCGGTCGAGCCAGACACCTTCGAGCCCATCGTACGCAGTCCGCCGCGGAATAATGATGGGATGCCGCCGCCATGGCCGCCGTGCCCTCCGATGAGTGGCAGCTGGTCGGTAGGTAGCTCCCGCGACGATGTGCCTGCATCCTCAGCGGATCTGTTGCGGCGGCCGCACAGCGCTGCGAGAGAGTTGATGAATCGTTTGAGAAAGGGCAAATTCGTCAGCAGGGCGTACGAGTACATCACGGCGGATCGACGCACGCACCTCTGTTTCTCTTGCCTCTGTCCTGTGTTTTTTTGTTTCCGTGAAACCGATGGAGGTTTGGCTTAGCTCGCCTTGCGGAAGAGGAGTGTGCCTGAAGATGAGATGCGCATACGAGCGGATCTGTGACTGAAGGAGCTGACTGCGGCTACCTCTCTCAGTGAGGTGACCCATGTGGCCGAATCCCCAGCTCCAGCAGGCGCTTCAGCAGCAGCAGCAGCAGATGGTGGCCGGCGTCAACATGCAGTTCGGCGGCATGCAGCCCAGCCAGATGATGGCGCTCCAGCAACACACCATGAACCAGATGCAACAACACCAGGTGCCGCTTCAGCAGCAACAGCAGCAGCAGTGGGGTGGTCCGTTCTCTCCCCCCGCACCGCCCGCTGCTGTCCCAGTAGCACCACCTGCGGACATGGAGCTCAAGAACGTCATCGAGCGAATCGCCGGTGGGTCAGCCACTCACTCCTGTCATGTGTCTTCAAAGGGACGATGTTTGTCTGTTTGAACAGATTATGTGACCAAGAACGGCCCGCAGTTTGTGGATGTGGTTCGCGAGAAGCATCCCAACGATCCCAAGTTCGCTTTTCTCAGCGGCGGGGAGGGACACGACTACTTTCGATTTTGCCTCTCTGCCGCCCAGCAACAGCAGCACCCCGGCCAAATGACGCAGATGAACATGTTCTTCGGGGGCATGCGGCCACAGGTGAGGTGCGAGGGAGCGAGAGAGAAATAAAGGGGAGGGAGGAGTGGGCACAGCACACACACACACACACATCCATCCACCGATGCTCTCATTCATTGTGTTGCTGTGGTGTGTCCGCCCGGCATGGCATGGCTACAGGCGAGCGTCAGCGGCCCAGCTCCTCTCCCCCCTGTCGCCGCGCCCCCCACTCCCCCAGTGACATCACTGCCCATCCAGATGAACGGCAGTGGCGCTCAGCAGCCACCACCACCACCGCCGCCACTAAATGGGCCGCTGGAGGCCGGGGGCGGCGACATGGAATCGCTCCTTATGCAGTTTCAGGGTCGGTCAGTGACAGACAGATCAGCAAGGGCGGTTGGTTGTCTTATCGCACTGATGGCATCTGTGGTTGTGTTTCAGAGCCTCCGAGGGGACCGCCGCTTCCCCCTGATACGGAGAAAGGGCTCAACGGTACGCACGCACAGACGATTGGACGAACCCGTTCGTTTTGTGCAGGACTTTATCCATCTCTCTCTCTCTGTGTGTGTGTTGATGTCAGACGTGTTGTGGTCTTTGGAGAAGAAGGCGTCGGGTGACAACATCCGCAGCGGCCACCAGTGGATGAAACTCAACGCAAAAAACATCAAGCAGGTCGGTGTCAGGCAGTGGCACACACACACACACACACGCGCACACACACAAGAGGACACTGGCACTGCTTGTGTGTGTGTGTGTGTGTGTGTGTATGTGTGTGTTCACAGATAGCGTGTGCGCTTCGCGAGAGGATGGCTGACCTGCGGACATTTGCGCACAAGCTGCACGTGCTGTACCTGGTCCACGACGTCATACAAGTGAGGCTACAGTCAATCAAGGACAGATAGCTGCAGCAGTGGGGTGCTACCTCACACGCACAACCAACCAAAACGACTTAACGACTGCTGCGGTCTTGGTTGAACGAACTTACCCTCATGGATGGATGGATTGATCGCAGAGCGAAGTGGCCGAACAGCCAGCGGTACACTCACCCGAACGACCCACTTACCCCACCCACCGCACCACCTCCCTCCCTCTCCCACCACACAAAGACAGACACACGGAAGACCAGACAGAGCAGAGCAGAGCAGAAAGAGACAAGCCAGTGCTGCATGGACGCCATGGACGGCATTGCATTGCATTGCATTGTCTGTGTCCCGCCCTGTTGGTCAGGGTCAAGACCTCCGCAACTCAGACGGCTCGTTCATCAACGCCTTCTTCCCCTACCTGCCGTGGCTGCTGCGAGACGTCTTCCAGGCCGCCAGCAAGGATGACCTAGGTGAGTCAGTGAGACCGACACACATCCATGCCATGCAGGTCAGGTGCAGATAGATGGTCGTGTACCTTTCTGTCCCCTCTATGCTATGCGGTGACGTGACCGACCTACCTGCAGGCGAGACGGTCAAGAACGAGGAGAAGGTGAGGCGTGTGCTCTCCCTCTGGCTCGATCGCCACATCATCAACCAAGACGAGGTCAACAAGATCACAGCCATCATGACGGCACAGAAGCTACCCGACCCCGCACCCAAGACACAGCAGCAGCAGCAGCAGCCTCCACTGCCCCCCGAGACACCCCCAGCCCCTCCATCGCACGCGCCCCCGCCCCCGCCAGAACAGGTCCCACAGCAGCAGCAGCAGCAAAAGCAGCAGCCGGCCACACAGAGGAAGTAAGAGCGGCGACAAGGCACCCAGAGGCAGGCCTCCACCGTGTTTGTATGTCAACTTGTGTGTGTCCATGTGTTTGTGCTGCATGCAGGAGTCGATTTGACAAGGGCGTTCCGCCCGCGGGCGTGATGCCCCCTGCTGCGCCAGCGATGATGCCCTTCGCTGGCCTCATGCAGCAACCCAACCTCGCCATGACACAACCAGTGCGCAACACCTACGCCGCCCACCCACCCACTCACACAACCATGCCATGCACCTGTCTGTCCTTTGTCTGCTGTCGGCCTGCATCAGTTTCCGCACATCCTCTCTCCCCCCGGGCAGCCCGCTCCGTTGGGCGGTTTGCCTACTGTGGCGACGCTGATGACATCGGTGCCGCCGCCTGGCCAGGGGCTGTCTGGTGGTGGGGCGATGGCCATCAAGACGCCCGAGGACGTGCCTGTGGGTGTGATGGCCACCATGCTCAAGCAGATATCCAGCAGGGGCAAGAACATGCAGACGGCCTTCGTCCCGTACCGGCCGCTGGACCCAATGCTCACACCACAGGCGCTCCCACGTAGGCAGACAGACATGGGACGGACATACAACAATGGCTGGGTGGCGGGATGGATGGACAATGTCTGACCGACATGGTTGTGTGTCTGCTGCAGCGATGGAGCCGGCCACTGATCAGATGAACGAGCGTCTGAAGGACTTTTACGAAGACCTCAAGGACGAGCAGGAGAGGGAGGACCGCGAAGAAAAGAGACGGTACGTCCCACCCACTCACTCACCCAGGCTCACACATCAACCAACCAAACGATGAATGAATCGACATATCACGTGCGTCCGTCCGTCCATGGACTGCCTGCAGCAAGAAGGAGGCTGAGCGTGCCGAGCGCGAGAAGGAGGAGCGGCGGCTTGAGAGGGAGCGCGAGAAGGAGCGCCTCCGCCGCGGCCCCTCGCCCCGATCCAGGTCGCGAGAAGGAGACAGGGCGGCACTGCGAGACCGAGACCGAGATCGCGACAGAGACCGCGACAGGGAGAGGGAGAGGGACCGTGAGAGGGACAGAGACCGCGATTACCGTCGTGAGAGGCGGCGGAGGAGCCGCAGCCGCTCACGGTCAGTGTCGAGGTCCAGGAGCAGGTCACGGAGCGACGAGAGGGACAGAGCAAAGTGAGAGCACTGCGGTGCATACAATGGGCGACTGGACGGATGGGCGATTCCTTCCTGTCTGTCTCTCTGTCTGTCTGTCTGTCTGTCTGTTTGTTTGTCCGTGTGTGTGCTCCAGGGAGCTGCGTCGTCGGAATCGTGATGCAATGGTGCGACAGGGCCCGACGTATGAGCGGCCTGTGGCCTGGGCTCAGGAGGAGATGGGCATCGGCGAAGACGGATCTGTCATCGGTAAGCCAATCAACACACGATAGCCGCCGAACCGGCCAGCCAGCCAGCCAGCCGATGCATGGTGTGTCGGCTGGCTCGATCAGGTCTCGGTGGTCGGCAAAGCGAGCGCATGGGTCTTGGGGCACTGACCGAGGAGGAGCAGCGGAAGAAGGATGTAAGCACGCCACCTCACCCAGTCGATCCCCCGCTCCATGTCTGTGAGTGAGTCAATATGGTGTGTCTGTCTGTCTGTGTCTGTGTGTGGCTCTGTGGTGCAGATGTTCGAGCAATATCGGAAGAGGCAGTCGATCCGCATGTTCTCCAGATAGATGCATACGATAGACAGCTGCAGGAGGCCGCGGCGGCTTCATGATCTGTTTTGTGTATCCATCACACGGATCCCGTCGTTGTGTGGCTCTGCGTCATTGGTCCCATGACGTCGATGCCAGACACGTGCACGTCCAGTGGAGTCACTCACATAACTCTTACACGCGCTTAAGCGAGCATCTACACATACGGCTCATCTCATGCATCCCATCATCATCCATCATTGCGGACGTCTTAATTGCCCGTCGCCAACTGACCAGCTGCATTTCCCGTGTCTCCCTCCCGTTCCCCTACTAAGAAACGACGAGCACGAAATGCTTCGCCATGCACATCCATCATGTTGATCATGTACACCCCGCCCTACGTACAAACCTGCGCCAATAGGCACAGAGGAATGCGCACCGACGCACGCATGGACGCGATGCATATAGTCATTGATTTGATGAGTACGCAAGAAGGACAGACACATATCCATTCCTCTGTCTGTCTGACACGGAGGAGGCATGCGACCCAACATGGCGTGTTTCTGTGTGTGTGTGCATGTGTGCAGGCATCTGCACATGAGACACGCGTGCAGGCACCACCCACCTCCACCCCTCCACGACACGACATGTGTGCGAATTGAAGCACACATGGGTACGCACATGTATGCACTCCCCTGAGTGCGCAAAAAGCAGACGGACAGATATCCATTCATCCGTCCCGTCCGTCCGTCCGTCCGTCTGTCTGTCTGTCTCTCACAAGAAAAGGTCCGTCCGTCCGTCCGAGACAGACAGACAGACAGAGACAGACCGAAAATGGCATGCATGCATGCATTTCTCGGTCGGTGTGTATGAACATGTCTCGCTGCCGCCCTTTTGTCCCCCATCCATCCATCCACTCCTCCATCCATCCACCCACCGCATGTGATGAGTACCATACGCGTGAGGCAGGTATGTACAAGTCCAGTAGTACTGTTGTGTCTTCACTCCACTCACAATCAGTCATTCAAAGGCCAGTCCGCCCCCAGTTCAGTCAGGTACACCCGCCACTACAAAAGCAGACCTCCCTCTGTCTTGTCTAAGCCTTCTCAGCCTTCTCGAGGAATATCATCTGGCCGCCCTCCACCAGATCCTCGTCAATGATGGCCGAACCCTCATTGAACTGCGCCTGGTCAGTGATGCCATGCGCCTGCACGTTGAACAAGAAAAGCGTCCCGGGCTTCTCGTCGAACAGCTCAGACACGTCCAGAATGCCGCTGCTCTCCCATTCACCAGCGTCGCCGGCGTCCACATCGACAGCGTCGGTCGGGTTGGCAATGCTCGCATCAAGCACAACGTCGCGGTCAATGTTCGCCACACGGAGAAGCGCGGGGGCCTTGGTGTGCGGATCGATTCGCACAATTCCGGCTTCATTCGGGTTTGCGGCGCCCTCACCGAAGAGGGGCTCGCCGGTGAGAGTAGTCTCCTCAGCCTCATCCTCTTGCACGTAGATGAAGCCATCTGCACACACAAAATGAACAACGAGATGGATGGATAGACAGAATCAGCAGTGGGTACTCACCGTCAGCCCAGTCCAAGTTGTCAGGCGACCGCAGTCGTCTCTTTTCGTCCGCATCACCGTCGTACAGGATCGTCACTCTCGCACTCAGGTCTTTGAAGTCAGTCTTTATGATGTACACAGTACCTGCACACGTGCAGCCATTGTGGGTGGGAACAGACAGTAAAAGCAAAATCCTCATGGATGTGCCTCTGTGTGTGTATACTCGCTTACCGAAGGTATCAGCCCCGTTGCCAGTCTCTTTCGTCGATGGCGTACGTGTCCACACCCGTCGAAGCAAACACAGCCTCCTTCCCGTCCTTGGGATTGGTGGCCACATCCTCGGGCCGGGAGAAGCCGAAGGCCCCCAGATCCTCAGCTCTTGTCCACAACGTCCTCTGTGTGGGGTAGCTGAACTGATCAAACGAGACACGCCGCACATCCATCCACCCAGAGGGCAGCAGGAGACGCTTGTCGAGCGAGCAGCGCATGTGTGATGTTCGGTCGCTGACCTGGTCGAATCCCGTGCTGCCATCGTCTGACTTGAGGGCCTCGTCCTCTGTAGTGCTGTTGTCGATCTCCACCCATTTGCCCTTCCGTGATCCCGACCCTCGGAAGTCGAGAGGCGTCCTGTCGCCAGTGTCAGACACCCACACGTACAGCTTGCCACCACGGAGGCCGTTCCTGGAGAGGAAATCGCCCGCCGGATCTTTCACTCCAATGTACAAATACGCCGGGGCTGCTTCGGTTTCATTGTCCCCTGCCATCTGGTTGGCGTCGAAATCGTCCGCATCGAAAGGCGCGCTGTCGTCCATGAGAATCAATGCCACTTTTTCCTTATCCCCAGTGTCCAACTCAGCCTGCAACAACACAGAGACGCAACCAAAGGCAACCACAAGGGCGTCCAGGAGTGGGGACCCCTTCCACATGGACACGAGCAATTGCCAGTGCTCTGCTCACCACATTTTCCCATGCGCCGCGTCCAAGAGCTGCATCAAACAAAAAGACATGCAGAGGTGTGCACACACACGTCCATGACATGATCGATCCGATCCTTGGTGTACACATAAAGGACTGACTCACCAGGGACCTGCCAGAGGTCCCCTCTCTGAGGGTCGAGAGCCCACATGGCCCCGCCGACGGTGGAGAAGAAACTGCCGGTCTCCTCGCCGGTGTAGTAGATACTGTCGACGTGGCCACGGCCGTCTTTGAACTGCTTTGCAGGAACCAGCTGACTGCACGGGGGATGGGAAAGAAGTGGCGTGCACGTCCTTCCTTGTGTCCCCTGCCTCCTCCCTGGTCAGTGCACTGATTCACCTGGAGCAGAAGCGATCGAGGCCTTTGAATCGCTCGCCCTCAAAGACCTGGAAAATGCTCGTGTTCTTGGCGATGTTGCCGTCGGCATCCTGACACAGGCAGGCAAAGACAGGTCAAGTTTGATTGTGTACGCGAATGGTGGGCCATCTTTCCTACGTAGATGGTGTTGTAGGCGATGCCGCCGTCGAGCACCTCTCTGGTGTCCTTGTCGATGTCAAGGTATGACACCCTGGCGCCAATCAGCTTCCATGTGCCGCCCTGGCCATCGCTGAGCTCGTATGGGGTCCCCCGGTCGTTGTTGATCTCGTGATTCACAAACACCCGCACGATGCCATCTTTCTGCATGAAGGAGACACATATACACAGCCGTCACTCACGGGGCACCACAGACACCAAGAATCTTTCTTCTCAACACACTACCAGTGTGTAAGCACCGATGCCGTCAAGAATGCCTGAGAGAATACCGTAAGCACCCACACCCTTTCATCGATGCCTACTGTCTCTTGGTGAAATTGATGCACACACCGGCGGGCTGATAAGTAGGGATGTTGGGCTTGAACTTGTTATACGCCCCTGAGGAGGGATCGATCTTCTGGCCTGTGGTGAGCACCACAGGTCCCACCTTGTAGCCCTTTGCAGTAGCTTCTGCCATCCTGTTGGTATGCCATTCATTTTAACAGCAAGACAATGACGCTCTCCTCTGGTCTCATCTTGCGCGGTGGCCTACGGAGGGAAGGTGTCGGGAGGCATGAGAGCGAGGCGGCTTTTCGCATCGAGGACAGCCTTCATCGCATCGAGCGCGGCCTCCATGAAGTCATCTTTAGGGGTGGCGGAAGCGGCAGGGGCTGCCAGGAGCAGTGCCGCGCACACGACGGTCAGCATCATGTCCGGGGCTCTGTAAAGGGGAAAAGAAGGAGAACAGAGCAGAGAAAGGCGAGATATAACGTAGCGAAATATCCAACTCGCCTTCGGTACACTGTGTCCAGGCGTTTTTGGCCGTTGCAGGGCTTAGGACAAACGTGCTGTGTGTCTGTCCAGTTTTGATTGGAGGGCCCGGTTGCCGGCCGAAGAACCAGCTTTTCGCCGTACCTCGTCGGGCAGTGGTGTCACTGACGGCGTGGGTGCGAGCTGTGCTTGAGCTTGTGCTTGCGTGAGATGGACTTTTGTGGTGCTTGCATCTGTCGTGCAGTTCGTCCTCGAGATCGGCGCACACTGGTCGACACGGCACTCGACGCCGCATGTAATTTGTGCTGGCGCCCTACCTGCCTATCTAGCTAGGACCAGGGCAGAGCAGGTTTCCTAGAGGGAGGGTATTGCAGGCGAGGGGAGTGTACACATGCATGTGTACGGCTGGTGCGAGTGTGCATAGAGTGTAGACAAGTAGGGAAAGTGTGTTGTTGTCGCTCGGCTCGCTGCATGACGATTCGTACGTATCGATTAATGTCCTGCGTCCAGACGGCCTACCTGCATATCTGTCTGTCTATTCACACACATAATCTCCCACACACACACACACACACACACACAGATGCAACCAGGCCAGTGTAGACCCCAGATGCGCACACCAACATCTGCCTACACATACGACCTCCCATGGACCAGAGAGAACAGAGAGAACCGTCCCGCTTCTCTCACGGACTCTCCTGAAACCACCACACACATGTGCATTACATCGGCAGGGGCACACGCATTCACTTACCCTTTTCTCACACTCGGCCGCAGTCACGGCAATGGAATGCAGCCGTGCTTGTGCGGTCGATTTGCCGGACGGGGTCCACAGCGACATGCCCCTGGTCATGGAGCGCTTGGGCTTGAGTGTGGGCCGCCGGCTGCCCAGACGGCTCGTCGGCGACGACGGGCTGCCGTGGCCAAAGACGGCGATCGAGCTCCGCCTGCGTGCTGCATCGGTGGGCGACTGCCATACTGAGGGCGACCGCTGGTAGACAGAGCGCCTGGGCTGCTGCTTGGGGCTAGGCAAGTCCTCGGGCAGGAAGTCCAGCATGTTTTGAATGTTTGCCGTCTCCTGCTGCTTCTTGGCGAACAGTTCTTTCAGGGTCTTCTCAAAGTCGGTCGAGTCGTCGTCCAACTGACGCGGCAATTTCTGCACTCACACACAAGGCGCATAGACGGACGGATGCACAGCTCCAACTCGGTGATATGATGCCTGCCCACGCACGGACATTAAGCGCTTCGGTGAGGTCCTTCTGCGCGAACGGGCGGAACTGTTCGGTCAGGTCCTTCACGTCGCTCGTCGCCTGCTTGTATATGGTGAAGTCGGCAGCACGGTTCCGGGCCGTCCGAGTCTTGACAGGCGACACAAATAGGGTCGGATAATCTGTCAGCTGACACAGAGAGAGAGAGGGATGGAGAGGCAGATACACATGTATTTGAGTGAGACACGCTTGACGCCGGCATCATGTCTCACGTATGCACCAACCTTCGCCCAGTCCCTGATGACTTTCTGTGCCTCAAAGGCGGACACCCTCGGCAGATCGCCCTCAGAGGTCGATGTGGCCAGCCCCTGCTGCCGCCTGCACACGTACACACACATGGGCAGGCCGGCAGGCATCACCTACATCACTGCCGGCCAGATAGACATCTGTTCACCCACTTCCTGGCTGCCCCGTAGAGAAGCCGCAGTCTGCAAAAAGGGGAGGAAGGGGGGCGAAGAAGAAGACAGCCATCGTACGAGGAATGACAACAATGCAGAGTAAGACGCGGGACGGCCCCGTCAGGTGACTGACCTTCCTTGTGTTGAGAAGAACATGCGATCGCTATACTCCTCCTCCTGGGTGCGATGTTGTCTTTTGAAGTTGAACTCCAATGCCTGCAGTCACGCATTAATACATGCAGAACAGCCATCGAGACGCACTCAGGATAACGGTAAGGAGCAGTTCTGCTGTTCAAGAAGGCTTACATTAGCTCTGAGGCGAGGCAGATACTGATGCTGCACCGTCCACTCTAGGGAAGGAACAGACAGACAGACAGACAGACAGCAGACGCGTGCACCCTCTCTAAAAGAAGACAACATCTGGCCACCCCACCCACCATCCAGCAGGGCCTCTTTCTTCCGAATCGCCTCTTCATCTTCGATCTCCCTGTCCCTCCCCTTGCCCCCCCGTCTCTTGCGAACCCTCATGATGCCGCCATCTGGCCGCTGGGGAGTCTCAGAGTGCGCCGACGAATCATAGATGAGAAACGGAAAAGGCCCCAACGAGTCCAGAAGGGTGCGGGGGTGCGGGGGGATGCCCTGCTTCGTGAATGACACGGGTGGCAGGGTGTGGGAATGACTGCTGGATACCGAGGCGACTGAGGCCACGCTCGAGTGGCGCTTGCTGCCCGCTGCCGTCCTGAACAACACAGAAGCAGAGGTATGACGTATATCTCGTGATTAGGATGGCATGGCAACAGCTTACGCAGCTCTCCTCGGCATCAGCAATGGCGAGTCAGGTCCCCACACAGAGGGCGTCAAGACATGGCTCTCAACACTGGCCTCCACAATCGACTGCCCGCGCATGCGAGCACAACCTCCACCATCACCGCCAGCTGCAGCAGCAGCCTTTGGTCGCCCCTTCCCCTCACTGCCCGCCGTCTTCTGTCTCGTCTTCGGGCGCTTCTTGCCTCTGGCCGATCGCGGCGACACAGGCGGTGACAGTCGTGCCTCGGCGCTCAAATGGTGAAGCAGGAATCGTTTGCACAGGAATGAAGCACCTCGCACCTCATTGCGAGTGGGCGGCCGAGAGGGGGGGTTCTGAGTCCTGCAACGAGCAAGCAGAATGCGTGAGTCTTGTCCATCATTCAACTTGCCACACGCTTACTCGTCTTCGTCTTCTTTCGCCGGAGGGGCGGCTTCAGGTACGTGTGTGACCACCTTTCGTTTGCCACTGTCTGCGAGTGAGCGGGACTTGGGGCGTTTCGGAGGCCCGGGGAAGAAGTCGTCGTCTTCGTCATCAGCAATGGGGCGCTTGGGGTAGAAATCAAACTCGTCCTCTTCCCCCTCTTCCTCCTCTTGCTCCCTCAGGCTGCTGGTCGCCTGAGGCTCGTGCACGATGACAGCGGGGGTGTTGTCTGCGTCCTCAGCGGCACTCACAGGGCCTTCTTCCGCATCATCGGGACGCTCTGTGTCCTCATCCTCTGCGGGTGAGGCTTCTTCCGGCTGAGCCCCTCCCCCAGTCTCGGACTCGTTGCCATCCGGGTCAGCACTCAAAGGCTCTTCTGCTTCGATGGTCTCCTCAGGCACCTCGAGGGCCTGGCAGTGCTCTCTTTTCTCGTCGTGTTCATCCATCGGACGCGTGCCCGGCCGAGGCATCTTGGGGGGGGGGGGGG